ATCAAAATCAGATAAGAGAATTCAACTTTTATTGTAATTTCGTTTGAATAAAACTATCTGTCAACCCATCAATTTAGAGTAGGAAATTGTAATCCATGTACTTATAGAGCTGAAATCTTCTATTGCAGGTGATTCATAAGGTGTGGTGCCAAAAAAGAGAATGATAAGCCACTCAATAACAATTTCTTGAATCATCGGAATCAAGTCAAGTTGTATTCTTGCTATGTCATCACTCATCATGCAACATACTGTCCTCATAAGTCCTTTTTCCATCCACAAACATACAATAGAAGTAAAACATAAACATTCAAGTAAGACGTGTTTATAACCTGGAAATACAAATACATAATCTGGAAATACATGCACATACAATAAGTACTTAGCAACAAACATACCACAAAATCAGTTGATAGTTGTACATAAAATAACTCAGCAAAGTTTGCAACGAAATCATTATTGAAGCTGGATCGAGGAATGGCGGGTTTATAACCTGGATCGAGGAATGGAGCTGTTGTCAATGAATGGAGCTGTCGCCGTCGATTTCCAGCGAGGAACGGAGTTGTCGTCGTCGATTTCAGAGAGTTCAGTTGCGATTTCAGACTTCGGTGAGTGGAGTTGATTGTGATTTGAGTGAGATTTCAGAGAGAAATTTTCGTAGAGAATAGAGAAGAAGTTGAGAAATTTTCGCTGAGAAGAGAAGAAGCTGAGAAATTTTCGCAAAGAATTAGAGAAACAGAGACTGAGAAGAAGCAAAGAAACAGAGAAAGGGTTGCGATTGTGTATTAGGGATTTAGGGGTTTTAAAATTTCGACCGGTTTTTTCGTCGATCCGGTTGGACCGACGGTTCGCTGAGTTTATTCGGTTTTCAAACGGTTTAAAGTGGTTTAGTGCATTATAGCGGTTTTGGGGTTGACTCGAATTGGACACGTGACTGGTTCCCGATCCAACCGGTTGGACCGGCCGGTCTGGCTCGGCTTTTAAAACAATGCATGAACCTCGAGGGGTTGGCCTCGTGATCAAGAAATTTTGCTCCCTTCATTAATTTCTTGAGTTCAAACCACTTTGTAGTCATCTATTACATTTGTGACTTACTTGGAATATTATGCTTGTAGAGTATTAAATGGGCCTCGAAAATTTAGACACCCTGGTTTTCAAAAAAAAAAAAATTCTTCCTACATGAAAATGGGCAGTTAGAACTAGTGATTAGAAACCTAACCCATGCAGTGACCCAACTAAGCCATTGGGTCCCGGGTTGAGCGGTTTGACCAACAGGTCAAGCCTGTATCCAAAGGTTCATGGCAGGTAGCTTTCCTGATTTGCTACAATAATACTTTTCCCCTTTTGTTTCATTTTTAAATTAGTCATCTTATGAGTACAGTTCTTCTGGTGACATTTTAGAAATGCAAGCGCAAAAAATATGCAACATGTCATAATGTGACAAAATGCAACTAAGAAAAATTACCATTCTGTCTTCTTTCTTTTATAAACTCATCTGCAACCTGAAATATAGCAGATGAGAAAAAATGAGTCCACATCAATAACTGATTAGGAAAAAACTATTTACGCCATTTATAATGGCAATGTTCAGTACTCTCACCTTGATTTCAAATCCACAACAGATCGTGCAATCAAATGGCAGAAGTTTTTTAGTTATTTAATACTCTGAACCTTATCTAGTGTAGACAAAAATCAAGGAGCTAGGTTCCATGTCAAAATCAATTCACTGGATCATTGATTTGCTCAAGAAGAAAAGGAAAAAAAGAAAAAAAAAAAAGCCTGATAGGAACCCACTCCCAAATGATATGAATTGACGGACAGTGGATTTTGTGGGCTTGGTTAGAACTCTCCTTGGAAAACTGGCTTGCCAAGAGAGGGTGCCAAGCCATTTATAACCCACACGCCCACCCCTTTCCTTCCAATGTGGGATCCTAACAAAGACCCTCAAAACAAAGTTGGACATAGTGTACAGATTTGTGATGAGTAATGAGACAGTGCACCTACTGCTGAACTTGACACACTATCCTTAAACTAAAGCCAAAGAAGAAAAAAGACGATTGTATATTGGAGTATCATCATCACATTATACGGAAGGAACATACTCTGGCTCGTAACTCATCGCTAGTTCTCTTGAAGGCTCTCAGTTGGAGTGGTTTTCCATCTCTTAAACAAGCTCATGAGCAACAGAGCGGACAAGCATCTGCCATCTCCAGGTATGCCTACATATTATGTAGTCATCAACACTGGCACACGGCTTTATATGAAAAAGAATTGTATCATGTAAAGATTTGATAACTTAGAAAAATAAGGATATATTATTTTCATTAACAGAATTTTAGTGCATAAAAATTGGAAGAAAGTCGGTCATTGCTCACCAATAACAGAGTAGTCAATATACTTCTTCCCATGGGAGCATTTAACATATGACAAATTGCAGTCCTCGTTATTTTCTTTCTCATCAGCTGCTTCCGCATGTACAAGTTTAGAAATTGAATAACAAACTAATAATCCAAAATTAAGCAACAGAAGACATCCTGCGGCAATTTATAGGTCCAGCATTACACTTGATTTTGTGAAGCCCCCTTGCTTTGGCACCAAGAGCCTCATGTTAATACTTTGGCACACCAATGAAATTTCAAGGTGTCTCTTCTGAACCCTCTAGCACTGATGAAACGCTTAATGGTTAATGCCGTAAATTGCACCTAGGTTAGCGAATGCAGGAACAAAGCAATTTGCTGGAACTTTTGCAAGCCACAGTAGATGAACAAGAGATTGTTCCGAGAGAGGACAGACCAGGGTGGTCTTTCCTAGATTCCACTACCAATTGAAAACAATAAGAACTAGATGGTCCTGGAGTACACCCACAGATATACCACCATTGTCCTTGAATTCGTCCACTCAGGTGGACAACATCTTGGTACATGTACTAGTCCACCGCCAAGCCAAACCAGTTTGACCTAGCCTATGCAAAAGAGCGAAACCACTTAGAGTATTAGAAGTACAAAGATGTCAGCGAACCATGTTTCTAATTCAAATGAAAACTGGTCTATCTAAGCATTAAATAGCCAATCAAAAAATTAATATAATAGCCGCATGCATAAAGAACATTTTTCATAATAATAAAAAGTATCAGCTACATAAATAATATCAACCAATTCAATTATGTGTTTAGGTTGGGTTTATTAGACTTAATGCTCCAAGCTCCCAGGTTATTTTAAGTTTGATAATAACCAGGACGACATAAGCATTGATTCAAATATAGCATATACATCATTTTGAAGATATTCACCATCAAGGGATCTTAGATCACTAAAGACCTCATAAAGCATAGTTGGATCAATGTATGTCAATAAACATTTACAGAATACCAGAAAAAACTCAGAAATGAATAGTCATTGCCATCCATGCTTCTTGAACTTGCCAGACTTGCTCCCGAAAAATCCCTAAAACAGATATACACTATACCCTCAAATTGAAACATGCTGCAAAACTGAAAAACGTTAAATTAGAAATCCACCTATGAACAGTAAAAGAAAGGTTAAGCATGCTCTAGTTTCATCAACAGTTAAATGGATAAACAGAGAAATCATATTAACAAATAATTACTATCTCCATAAATCAAAGGTAAAAGAAGACAAGAAGTAAGCGCTCTTTTCTACTGCCTCTCTTAACTTCTTAAAATATCTATATTCTCTTTAATTACCTCATTTGTTCTCTTAATTTTGACATGGTATATAAGATCCTGTTACCAATCTGACCGATTATTTACTTTCAAAAAAATCTAAGTTATAGTAGATTACCTCAAAGCCCATGTGGTAAGTGGGGCAAAACAGGGAAAAAGATAGTTAACATCCGGAAGTGTCGCTTTATGTTATCGATTCACATTCAGACATTTGTTCGTGTCAGGAAATCATTTAAAAAAACAGAACACATGCCTGCAAGTTTCTTTTTACTTTTCAGTTTCACTATAAAAGGTCATTTAGGTAATTACGAAAGAAGTCGTCTCAGATTTAAAATCAAAACAAAAAAGCAGTTGTAATCGCAATCCCACTCTTAAGATCATTATTTAATGAGTAAACTACATTTTCCCACCCAAGGTTTGGCGAATCTAAGTTCTCACCCTTAGTTTCATAAACTATGATTCACATCCTTAAATTAACACCGTTACTTCACTCTAAAATAACCTCCACATCTCAAATTTCTCTCAAATAACCCCTAGAGATCCTAGCCAAGCCAAAATCCAACACCATTGGACCTCCCCAATAGCACCGTCAGCACCACTTTATCCTCCTCACCAAAACCCCTAACATTTCCACGTGATTGCACCTCAACGGGGTGTCAAAATTCTACTGGAAAGGCACAACAAAATACAAAAACCTAAGGGAGAGACAGCGGCGATCGACGAGCAATTACGATCGACGATGTTGAAGGTTTTGGTGAGGGAAAGCCGGTGATGCTATTGGTGGTGCTGGGGGTGGTTTTCGATGTTAGGACTTGCCAAAATTTGGATGAAACACCTACTGAAACTAAGAGTGACAACCGGCAATTGGGAATAACAACAATTCCATCCTTAAGGTTTGGTTTAAATAACCTTTAGTCTTGGAGAATTACAGGACTAAACCGTTACTGAAAAACTCTATAAGGCAAACCTTAGGGACTACAATAATACTTTCCCTCTTTCCCTTATCTTAAAAAGTTATTGCACCACAATTGGGCAGGCCACCCCACCATCACCATGTTAATTGAACATTCTCTACATCAACCCGCCTCTTCTTTAAGCTTTCTCTTCCTTCATAACTTTACCACCCAATTATTATTAGATGGAATGGACACCATATCCTACAACCTAGAATTCCGCTCTTAACTGCCATTAATATGCTAAATATTATCAACTAACAGTAAATGATTTCTTTTTTCTTTTACAGTATTTATTGATTTGGTCAAATTTACTTTTACTAAATGCAAAACATTGGAATAGCCACACTATCAAATCATTATCTACATCGCCAAGGTTAAAATCAAAGTTCTAACCCAACTTTAGCCATTAATCACAAAAGCACTATCAACCATCAACTAATTCGTCAACCTACTGTCCGCTCAGTTGACTTGCTTAGCTGCTGTGGAAAAAGTTGTCAAGGGCATTTTATCATTTCACAAAAACATGGAAATTTAGCTTACTACTGATGGTTTTTGTGCTTCTTGTCGACATTTTGTCCACTTCAACTTCACTCTCTAACTTTTATAACAGTTTCTAATAGTATACACTTATTCATACTCTTCCTATCAAATATCAAAATTAAAGTTTTGATCTGCCACTCTTCTTTCCAGGAATATGTAAAGCGTCATAGTGGCCAGATCCATGATAGAGAACTCTGATAGGATTTTCCTGCCCGTATTCTTGCCCATACTCAGCAATGGATATCAGACCACCAGCATCCTTATCATACATGTACACTGTGATTGGCATTCTGCATTTTATCAGGATCATTGGCTCCTGTTAGTTTAATGATGTTGATGATAAAATTTCAGGGAAAAAGAAAAGAAAAAATTCAAATGTACAATATGATAACGCCATCATGGCCTTGGTTTTTGCCCTAGTTGTACACAAGCAACCACACTATCACAAAACCTTCATACCCCTGGTTGAAAATATACTACATTCAGCAGACCAACAGCACAGTTGGCCATGGTTCACTTGGTGCACTGGGGTGGGAAAGCTTTAAGGTTAAATTCCTACAAAGCATGAGAGAGAGAGAGAGAGAGAGAGAGAGAGAGAGAGAGAGAGAGGCTTACTGGAGAACATGTGAAGCCATGAACAATTCAGGCTCACCTCCCCAAACGTGTGGCTTCTTTATTTGGGAAACATATGTGTCAAAATCACCTTCAATAAACCTGTGATATTGTAAGCATGTTCTTCAGGAAAAAACTCAATCTATGTGAAAATGGAACCCAGATGTTCCTTAGCATGATACATGTCATGTTGGAACTATCGGCAGTGGGAATTATCAGATACCTTTTGTAACTTGACTCTTTTATCCTATACACAAGTTATTGCATTCTTGGAAGGAGTCTGTTAGTGAAATTATTAAACAAATTAAGGTCATGCATAAGACAGCTAAAGGTTTATTCACAGGTTCCCCATGGCAGATAGCTTTCCTGATTTGCTACAAGAATACTTTTTCCCCTTTTTGTTTCATTCTTAAATTAGTCATCTTATGAGTACAGTTCTTCTGGTGACATTTTAGAAATGCAAGCGCAAAAAATATGCAAACATGTCATAATGTGACAAAATGCAACTAAGAAAAATTACCATTCTGTCTCCTCTCTTCTCTTTATAAACTCATCTGCAACCTGAAAATATAGCAGATGAGAAAAAATGAGTCCACATTCAATAACTGATTAGGAAAAAACTATTTACGCCATTATAATGGCAATGTTCAGTACTCTCACCATTGTGATTTCAAATCCACAACAGATCGTGCAATCACAATGGCAGAAGTTTTTTAGTTATTTAATACTCCTGAACCTTTACTAGTGTAGACAAAAATCAAGGAGCTAGGTTCCATGTCAAAAATCATCATCACTTGGTATACATTGATTTGCTCAAAGAAAAGGAAAAAAAGAAAAAAAAAAGCCTGATAGGAACCCACTCCCAAATTGATATGAATTGGCTGGACAGTGGATATTTTATGGGCTTGGTTAGAACTCTCCTTGGAAAATTGGCTTGCCAAGGGAGGGTGCCCAAGCCATTTATAACCCACACGCCCACCCCTTTCCCTTCTAATGTGGGATCCTAACAAAGACCCTCATAAACAAAGTTGGAAATAGTGTACAGATTTGTGATGAGTAATTGAGACAGTGCAGCTACTGCTGAACCTTGACACACTATCCTTAAACTAAAGGCAAAGAAGAAAAAAGACGATTGTATATTGGAGTTATCATCATCACATTATACGGCAAGGAACATACTCTGGCTCGTAACTCATCCGCTAGTTCTCTCTGAAGGCTCTCAGTTGGAGCTGGTTTTCCATCTCTTAAACAAGCTCCATGAGCAACAGAGCGGAACAAGCATCTGCCATCTCCAGGTATGCCTACATATTATGTAGTCATCAACACTGGCACATCGGCTTTTATATGAAAAAGAATTGTATCACATGTAAAGATTTGATAACTTAGAAACATAAGTGATATATTATTTTCATTGACAGAATTTTAGTGCATAAAAATTGGAAGAAAGTCGGTCATTGCTCACCAATAACAGAGTAGTCAGTATATACTTTCTTCCCATGGGAGCATTTAACATATGACAAATTGCAGTCCTCGTTATTTTCTTTCTCATCAGCTGCTTCCGCATGTACAAGTTTAGAAATTGAATAACAAACTAATAATCCAAAAATTAAGCCAACAGAAGCACATCCTTGCGGCCAATTTATAGGTCCAGCATTACACTTGATTTTGTGAAGCACCCCTTGCTTTGGCACCAAGAGCCTCATGTTAATACTTTGGCACACCAATGAAATTTCAAGGTGTCTCTTCTGAAACCCTCTAGCACTGATGAAACGCTTAATGGTTAATGACCGTAAATTGCACCTAGGTTTAGCGAATGCAGGAACAAAACAATTTGCCTGGAACTTTTGCAAGCCACCAGTAGATGAACAAGAGATTGTCCGAGAGATGGACAGACCAGGGTGGTCTTTCCTAGAATTCCCACTACACAATTGAAAACAATAAGAACTAGATGGTCCTTGGGATGTCACACCACAGATATACCCACCCATTTGTCCTTGAATTCGTCCACTCAGGTGGACAACATTCTTGGTACATGTACTAGTCCACGCAGACACAACCATGTTGACCTAGCCTATGCAAAAAGAGCGCAACCACTTAGATGTATTAGAAAGTACAAAGACTGTCAGCCAAAACATGTTTCTAATTCAAATGAAAACTGGTCTATCTAAGCAATTACATAGCCAATCAAAAAATTAATATAATAGCCGCATGCATAAAGAACATTTTTCATAATAATAAAAAGTATCAGCTACATATAACTAATATCAACCAATTCAATTATGTGTTTAGGTTGGGTTTATTCTAGACTTAATGCTCCAAGCTCCCAGGTTATATTAAGTTTGATAATAACAAGGAAGACATAAGCATTGATTCAAATATAGCATATAACATCATTTTGACAGGATATTCACCATCAAGGCATCTTAGATCACTAAAGACCTCATAAAGCATAGTTGGATCAATGTATGTCACTAAACATTTACAGAAATACCAAGAAAAAACTCAGAAATGAATAGTCATTGCCCATCCATGCTTCTTGAACTTGCCAGACTTGCTCCCGAAAACATCCCTAAAACAGATTATACACTATACCCTCAAATTGAAACATTGCGAAAACTGAAAAACGTTAAATTAAGAAATCCACCCTATGAACCAGTAAAAGAAAGGTTAAGCATGCTCTAGTTTCATCAACAGTTAAATGGATAAACAGAGAAATCATATTAACAAATAATTACTATCTCCATAAATCAAAGGTAAAAGAAGACAAGAAGTAAAACAAAAAGATACCCAGAAACCCTCCATCAAGCAGGGATTGGAAAATGAAGATGAATGGAGAGTAAAGAAAACCCAGAAAGGCTAACGTATAGAGTAGGTTCTAGAACAGGAGAGAAAGTTGGTGAAGCAAAGAATACCTGCAAAAAGTCCCACTCCGAGAAACACTTTATCATACACAAGCAATGTATAATTTGTGAGGATATCGTTTTGGTAGTTGGTTTGTATGTTAAGTTGCCGCCTTTTTTGGCCTCCGCTGTATCGCTGAAGTTTAGTCGGTCTTCTTGTTCTCTCAATCTCTAGCAGTCTCGCGCTCTCTCTCTCTCTCTCTCTGTCTCTGTTTTATTGTTTTCGTGATAGCTCTTCGAACTTGCAATAAAACGGCGGCGTCTTTCATGTTTGTTTCTTCCTAAGTTGGGAACCCAAATTATTTATATTAAAGGGAAAAAGAAAGAAATTTTTAGCATATTAATTAATTAATTCTTAAATTTAAAAGACAACCAAACATGTCAAAATTAACGAAGAGTGACTCAATCTCTTAAGTTACTTCACTTAAACTTCTATAAATACTTCTTATAAGACTTTATAAATATCATATATGTTTTTTCATTAAATCGTTACCTTTAGAAACATAAATCATATTTTATAACATTTTATCATTTTTCTCTCTAAAACACGATTTAGGTATTTAAATTGAGAATTGAAAAGAAAATGAAACTAGATTTACCCCAAAACATTATTTGGTTATTAAAATCAATTTTGACAATAAAAACAATAAAACAATAATTAATCCAATTTAATGAAACACTTTCTTTCTACATGAACCCATGTTTTAAAAAACCGGACCGGAGAGCAACCCGCTCTACGGGCCGGTCACGGTTCAAACCGACCGCCGTTGGACTGGTGACGTCATCACACTTAATTGAATTGTCATTTGAAGAGTACATGTATTTTCTTTTGTATCATTAATTAACAAGGATTACAATTTTAAGCCTCAAAGCCCTTAGAGTTCAAATCATATTGGCTGTAAATACAGAATATTAATCAAAAATAAATTAGACAATTTTGAACTTAACTGAATTGTTATTCAGGCAAAATATTTGTCAACTCATCAATTTCCAAGAAGTTGATTTTCTTTTCGTTTATAAACAATTAGATATAATATTTCAATAAAACTTAACTGGACATATAGATACTAATCAAAATCAGATAAGAGAATTCAACTTTTATTGTAATTCGTTTGAATAAAACTATCTGTCCCCATCAATTTAGAGTAGGAATTGTAATCCATGTACTTATAGAGCTGAACTTCTATTGCAGGTGATTCATAAGGTGTGGTGCCAAAAAAGAGAATGAAAGCCACTCAATAACAATTTCTTGAATCATCGGAATCAAGTCAAGTTGTATTCTTGCTATGTCATCACTCATCATGCAACAACTGTCCTCATAAGTCCTTTTTCCATCCACAAACATACAATAGAAGTAAAACATAAACATTCAAGTAAGACGTGTTTATAACCCTGGAAATACAAATACATAATCTGGAATACATGCACATACAATAAGTACTTAGCAACAAACTACCACAAAATCAGTTGATAGTTGTACATAAAATAACTCAGCAAAGTTTGCAACGAAATCATTATTGAAGCTGGATCGAGGAATGGCGGGTTTATACCTGGATCGAGGAAGGGAGCTGTTGTCAATGAATGAGCTGTCGCCGTCGATTTCCAGCGAGGAACGGAGTTGTCGTCGTCGATTTCAGAGAGTTCAGTTGCGATTTCAGACTTCGGTGAGTGGAGTTGATTGTGATTTAGTGAGATTTCAAAGAAATTTTCGTAGAGAATAGAGAAGAAGTTGAGAAATTTTCGCTGAGAAGAGAAGAAAGCTGAGAAATTTTCGCAAAGAATTAGAGAAACAGAGACTAGAAGAAGCAAAGAAACAGAGAAGGGTTGCGATTGTGTATTGGGATTTAGGGGTTTTAAAATTTCGACGCGTTTTTTTCGTCGATCCGGTGGACGCGGTTCGCTGAGTTTATTCGGTTTTCAAACGGTTTAAAGTGGTTTAGTGCATTATAGCGTTTTGGGTTGACTCGAATTGGAACGTGACTGGTTCCCGATCCAACGGTTGGACCGGCCGGTCTGGCTCGGTTTTAAAACAATGCATGAACCTCGAGGGTTGGCCTCGTGATCAAGAAATTTTGCTCCCTTCATTAATTTCTTGAGTTCAAACCACTTTGTAGTCATCTATTACATTTGTGACTTACTTGGAATATTATGCTTGTAGAGTATAAATGGGCCTCGAAAATTTAGACACCCTGGTTTTCAAAAAAAAAAATTCTTCCACATGAAATGGGCAGTTAGAACTAGTGATTAGAAACCTAACCCATGCAGTGACCCAACTAAGCCATTGGGTCCCGGGTTGAGCGTTTGACCAACAGGTCAAGCCTGTATCCAAAGGTTTGATCTAACAAAATACCTCTAAAATTGCATATAAGTCTCTATGGTTTGAAATCTTGTAAAAAAACCCCAACACCATTGTTAGAATCGGCAAATAGGGCCTATACCGACAATGACAACACTCCCATCACCACGAAAACACTCTCCTAAGTCTCCTGACCAAAACTTATTTCACCCCTCCCCCGTTTGCCTCCCCAATCGCCGTGACAACGAGCTTTTTCCAACACATTGTTTGCAATTTCTAATTAATTCCACCACCAGAAATCAACGTCGTTGCCACCATTCCACTCACCAGTCATTCTTCTTTAAACCCTAACATTCCAGCCTTCAATTATTCATTGATTGATTCCTAATTTCTAGATTTGAATGATTAGGAAAATTTGTAACCTGACATGGTAAAGGCTCCAGGTCCACGGTTCCCTACTCACTTGTTAGAACCATATATGAACATCTATTAAAAACATAAATCTAAAAATTAAATGGACTTTATGGATAAATTAAATATATAATTTACATTGAAAAGCAATTACAAACTATTTTACTTTGTTCGTCAGCTAATGTATCTCCTTACAAAACTTTTGTCTTCATTAAAAAATTATGTTTTAGTTATGAAAAATAATTTAACTTTATCTAAGTAGGGTTTGAAACAAAATAGTAAAAATTACTGTTTATGTCTAAAACTTATATAAAAAAGAATTTAATAATTTAATTTAAAGATAAACTTATAATTGTAAAAATTATTGAGAAGTATGGATCATTTAACAACTGGGTCTTAACTAGAGATGATAATGGATCTGATATTTCTGAGTATCCGGCCCGAAAAGGTTGAGCTTTACTCGATATTCGCAGGCTTGGGCTTGATTTTAAGGCCCGACCTCGGGTACGAGCCGGGCCTAGGTATGTCTTCAGGCCCAACCGACACGACAATTTTAGTATTAATTATACTAAATTACTCTTATAATATATATTTAATTACAAGATTATCCTACATTTATATACTCATTTTTCCCAAACCCTATATGGATGAATGGATGCAATTTGTGAAAAATTATTTATATATTTGGAGAGTATTAAAAAATAAATTAATATTTAAAAATTGTTTCTAGAATTAAAAATATTAAAAAATATTGAAATTTATTAATATTTAAAAATTCACATTATAAAAATTGGCGGGCTTGGGCCGGGCCTGGAGTTACAAAAAGCCCTTCGGGTCGGGCGACTTTACCTGTCATACCCGTGACGGGCCTAGACCGAGCTTGGGCCTTTGTCATGAGGTTGGGCTTGGGTCTGAGCCAAGGGGTACTCGGTCCCGACCCGGCCCATTGCCATCACTAGTCTCAACGAGCAAGACCTTGAGCTAAATACATCAGCTTTCAAAGAGGACGAGGAAGGAAGAGGTCAATTACACGACTCAAAATCAAAACACAAAGGATTCAGAAGACGAAACCCGTCCAAAGTACAAACCCACAGGGGGTTTTGGGAGGAACATGGGCTTGGCCCTTGCTCGGCAATTATCGGGCCATAGGCCATCATCAGACCCTCACATGCGAGCCCAAGCCATTGCCCAACTTTTCGTGTTGCAGCATAGCGGGAGCCCAACATCATGATGGGAAGGCCAGCTCCTGAAAAACCATTCCTCTGTGCTCAAAATTCTTGAATTCATCAAAACTTGCACAGCCTGGACTCAGTACAATAGCATCACCTGCATAATGAGAGATACTGAGAATACTTATAGTGACTTTCCCAGAAAGGTAATTGCAACATCAAAATACAAATTGACTAATTTTCAGCTGCGGTATCAAAACAACAAACCATGTTTTGCCATCTTCCTAGCATGGCTGATGGCATCCTTCAGATTTGCAGCTCCAATACAGGGGATGCTAAGACCATTATCAACCAATGTCTTGTGAATCATCAGTCCTGAAGATCCAAACTTAGGGACATTTGAGGACATATATAATCAGTCTATCATGTAACTTAGCTACACCCAAGAATAAATAAAAAAAAAAAAAAAAAGAGAGAGTAAAAACTTTTTAGTTGGAAATTGACTCGGCATTTTGAATCTTCAAGGATCTGTAATAATTATATCGGTACACATCAAGAAATAACAGATCACATACCGTGATTACACATCTATGGTTATTCAGTGGTTCAACTAATTGTTCAAAACCATTGGAGTCTTGTCCATTTAAGACCTGCAAATGAATAGAGCAACTCAGAAAGAGTTCACAGTACTCTTAAAGAAACACAATGCCGTAGAAATGAAATTGTAAGCAATGAAGGAGAAATCAAATAATGCATCCACGTGATATGCATAAATCTAACCTTCGCAAGGCCACCAAGTAGAACCACACACTTCTGTCTCCTCAGACCCATAAGTCCTACATATGCCGCTTCGACATTTGTTGCCTTGCTGTCATCTATCCATGTCACTCCACAGATATCCTTGTGCACTGTGTATAATGCTTAACTTGTCAAAAATAAGACTACTTGATATGGGGGTTAACAATAGAAATATATGTCAAGAACCAATAGGTATGTCCAATTAATGACATACCTAAGACAGACAAATCAAACTTTTGCAATGCTTGCCATATATGTTCAAGCCCAAAATTGGCAGAATCTTCCATCTAATTAAACAATATCACTTGATGCCATTAGATTATGCAACTGACTGTAAGCTTTTTTATATGCCAATATACAGATATGCTCCCTTTTCAAATTTTTGCATCTGCTTACTAATCTTTAAGAAGAATGAAGAAATAATTATGTGTCTCTTATTGCTTATACAAGAGCCAGGCATCATGAATGGAACAGATGGAACGTTCATTACTGATTGGAGTAATATTTTGAGTAATATGGTAGCCATTTCTCTTAGGGCATCAGATAAGCCACATCATATACATATAGGATTTTCTTAATTTCTGAAAATAGATTTCAATTGTGAGTTTATATGATCAATAAACTAAAGCCCGGGTTAAATACCAACGACAACTGGAAATTACTCCCTTCTTACATACAAAACCCTATTTCAAGTAATGCATTTCCATCTGAAGAAGAAAGAGGAACAGATTGAAATTCCTTCAAAAATTTGAAATGGAATAAGATTCTATCTGAAACAATCTTTACCAATTTGCATCCGATGAGGTGGTGCCCTTAATATTTCAATTGTAGAATTCAGGGCTTCAGCATCAACTCCAATATCCAGTCCAAGAATTGATAATGCAGCTACTGCAGCATTATGATAATTGTGTATCCCCATAGCCTTCATTGTACTCAACTGTAGCTGTGACTCAATGCCAATCGCAGGAACCTCAAAGCTGGCAGTCTTTGCCTCCATATCAATCTTTTCCAAAATAACTAGCATCAATATCATATGTGATATTCAAGAAAAAAAAAAAAGCTCGAAAGCAAATGCATAACAAAGGGCAATTGCATCTAGATCTCAAACATCAATTTCACAACCATTATAATTGTAAACACTAACAACATATGCCACACTTCAGAATTCTTTTGCTAATATTTCTGCACCAAGGATTTTGATCCAATTAATTTTTGGGCCTTCCCATAAACTTCAGTTTATTTCTTACTCCAAAATAAACTGCCAACATGATAAACAGGTGAGCATGGGTTCAATGCAGGTCTTTAGTTCAAGCCTTTAGTGGCATCAAACAGTCCAAAATCAATTAATCGTACTTATTTTTTGCCCAATACTTATCCGAGGTAGGAACATTATGTACTCTGGCCTTGCATATATTTTAAAAACATTTGTGCAAGACATATGGCACTAAAAGAGGACCCATACATAAAGTCAGAAACTTTTTTAACAAAGATAGTGAGATAATTGTTTCTTACTTTCACACCAGGAAAGGCTCCTATCCAAGCAACATTAAATTCATGTCCCTTAATTGCTTCATTCAAGTGCTGGTTTCCTGATGGAAAAATATGCTCAGTTGTCAAAACACACACAACTCCAATCTGCAAACAAGTAAACTCCAACAAATATGCAAGGTGAGAATAATAAGTGATACTGATCCTCAAAAGTCAAATTGATTTCCCTATAAAGAGGTTTAGCTCATTTCTATGCATAAGTTATCAATCAGATGAGCTTGGCAAGGACCCTGAGTGTGTATATATACTATATATTGATTTTAGAGTTCAGACCATCGAAAATTTAACTAATATCTAAAACCAAACTAGATCATTATGTTTTCACAGCATGCCACCTTACCCGCTAGACTTAGGGCTCTATTTGTTGCAGTTCAATAAAAGTTAAATAAAACTTATGAATGGTTCTAGCAGATTCAAAATTAGTATTCTGCAGAGCCCAATTATTTACTTGAGAAATAATTAAAACTTACCCAAAGGAAGAAGTCCCAGCTTGGTGTTTGCCATGTGAGAAAGTAAACGGCACTTAGTCAGTGCATAATTCCTCATTGTCTTGTGCCTTTCTAGATGATCAGGGGTTAGGTTTAATATCACAGTAACCTGCATAGTTTCCCACAATTTCATCAGGTGGAAAATATAAATGCATATAATGTATCTCTGTGTATCCATACATAAAAACAAACAGAGACACATGGGCAATTTTAGACAATTCTTTCAAGCCTACTCACTGAAGGGCAGAAATACTTGTTGGGAATTTCTATTTGATAACTGCTAACCTCCACCACTGCAACCTGGGAAACATTTTGATGCAATTTTGTTCCAAATTGTACACTGTTAAATGGGATGAGAAATTACAACCAGAAAATACAACCCACCTGAAACTTGGGTTTTGAAGAAGGCAATGTGAAGCATTGCAAAGCAGCCTCGGAAAGTGGTTTTCCAAGGTTGCCCCCTACAAATGTGTCAATGCCAAGATAATTAAGCATCTGCATCCAAACAATTCAGAAAACATAAATTTCTGAAAGAACATTGCAAAGTCATATCAAAAAGGGAATAGTTTAGAATTGGTAAATAACTGAAAGTTATACTCGCAATTATAATAAATGACTCAAAACTACAATATAGTTTTAGATGGAGGAATTTCTACTTTGGAGTCGTTTGGACCAAATAAACACATGCTTTAGCAAATTCTTTAACATTCTAAACTTCTATTGGGAAATGGCAAAGGACATTTTTTTCCATAAGAGGTCAAAAGGTCTTTTGATAAATTCTGTGAGAAAAATAAAGATGTAATATAGATATGAAGCCTTAGTTTACTTCACAGTCTTATATGAATTTTGAAACAGGAATATGTCAAACATCCAAAATGCCAAATTGAATAAAAGTGCCTAAACATGTTTCACTTTCTGTTACCATAAATAACAATAAAATACAATTAACTCACCAAAGTTACTATGAATAAGAATAATATAATACTTTGAAAAAAAAAAAAAAAAAAAATTAAGAAACCTGCCCAGCAAAGGTGACAACAGTTGATTTTCCATTAGTTCCTGTTACTGCTAAGATCTTGATGCTTCTTGAAATGACTTCCGCTGCAAAATCCAACTCAGACATTACCCGTTTCCCCTGCATTTTGACAGCAAATTAAATCATAAACTATTCCAATTTATAACTTAAAAAAATAANCTTCAGCATCAACTCCAATATCCAGTCCAAGAATTGATAATGCAGCTACTGCAGCATTATGATAATTGTGTATCCCCATAGCCTTCATTGTACTCAACTGTAGCTGTGACTGAATGCCAATCTCAGGAACCTCAAAGCTGGCAGTCTTTGCCTCCATATCAATCTTTTCCAAAATATTTAACTAGCATCAATATCATATGTGATATTCAAGAAAAAAAAAAAAAGCTCGAAAGCAAATGCATAACAAAGGGCAATTGCATCTAGATCTCAAACATCAATTTCACAACCATTATAATTGTAAACACTAACAACATATGCCACACTTCAGAATTCTTTTGCTAATATTTCTGCACCAAGGATTTTGATCCAATTAATTTTTGGGCCTTCCCATAAACTTCAGTTTATTTCTTACTCCAAAATAAACTGCCAACATGATAAACAGGTGAGCATGGGTTCAATGCAGGTCTTTAGTTCAAGCCTTTAGTGGCATCAAACAGTCCAAAATCAATTAATCGTACTTATTTTTTGCCCAATACTTATCCGAGGTAGGAACATTATGTACTCTGGCCTTGCATATATTTTAAAAACATTTGTGCAAGACATATGGCACTAAAAGAGGACCCATACATAAAGTCAGAAACTTTTTTAACAAAGATAGTGAGATAATTGTTTCTTACTTTCACACCAGGAAAGGCTCCTATCCAAGCAACATTAAATTCATGTCCCTTAATTGCTTCATTCAAGTGCTGGTTTCCTGATGGAAAAATATGCTCAGTTGTCAAAACACACACAACTCCAATCTGCAAACAAGTAAACTCCAACAAATATGCAAGGTGAGAATAATAAGTGATACTGATCCTCAAAAGTCAAATTGATTTCCCTATAAAGAGGTTTAGCTCATTTCTATGCATAAGTTATCAATCAGATGAGCTTGGCAAGGACCCTGAGTGTGTATATATACTATATATTGATTTTAGAGTTCAGACCATCGAAAATTTAACTAATATCTAAAACCAAACTAGATCATTATGTTTTCACAGCATGCCACCTTACCCGCTAGACTTAGGGCTCTATTTGTTGCAGTTCAATAAAAGTTAAATAAAACTTATGAATGGTTCTAGCAGATTCAAAATTAGTATTCTGCAGAGCCCAATTATTTACTTGAGAAATAATTAAAACTTACCCAAAGGAAGAAGTCCCAGCTTGGTGTTTGCCATGTGAGAAAGTAAACGGCACTTAGTCAGTGCATAATTCCTCATTGTCTTGTGCCTTTCTAGATGATCAGGGGTTAGGTTTAATATCACAGTAACCTGCATAGTTTCCCACAATTTCATCAGGTGGAAAATATAAATGCATATAATGTATCTCTGTGTATCCATACATAAAAACAAACAGAGACACATGGGCAATTTTAGACAATTCTTTCAAGCCTACTCACTGAAGGGCAGAAATACTTGTTGGGAATTTCTATTTGATAACTGCTAACCTCCACCACTGCAACCTGGGAAACATTTTGATGCAATTTTGTTCCAAATTGTACACTGTTAAATGGGATGAGAAATTACAACCAGAAAATACAACCCACCTGAAACTTGGGTTTTGAAGAAGGCAATGTGAAGCATTGCAAAGCAGCCTCGGAAAGTGGTTTTCCAAGGTTGCCCCCTACAAATGCCTCAATGCCAAGATAATTAAGCATCTGCATCCAAACAATTCAGAAAACATAAATTTCTGAAAGAACATTGCAAAGTCATATCAAAAAGGGAATAGTTTAGAATCGGTAAATAACTGAAAGTTATACTAGCAATTATAATAAATGACTCAAAACTACAATATAGTTTTAGATGGAGGAATTTCTACTTTGGACCAAATAAACACATGCTTTAGCAAATTCTTTAACATTCTAAACTTCTATTGGGAGATGGCAAAGGACATTTTTTTCCATAAGAGGTCAAAAGGTCTTTTGATAAATTCTGTGAGAAAAATAAAGATGTAATATAGATATGAAGCCTTAGTTTACTTCACAGTCTTATATGAATTTTGAAACAGGAATATGTCAAACCTCCAAAATGCCAAATTGAATAAAAGTGCCTAAACATGTTTCACTTTCTGTTACTATAAATAACAATAAAATACAATTAACTCACCAAAGTTACTATGAATAAGAATAATATAATACTGTAAAAAAAAAAAATTAAGAAACCTGCCCAGCAAAGGTGACAACAGTTGATTTTCCATTAGTTCCTGTTACTGCTAAGATCTTGATGCTTCTTGAAATGACTTCCGCCGCAAAATCCAACTCAGACATTACCCGTTTCCCCTGCATTTTGACAGCAAATTAAATCATAAACTATTCCAATTTATAACTTAAAAAAATAATAAAATATCTCAGGCAAGCTTGAAACTTGTAATTAAGTGGAGTCGCAAGTAAACTAATTGAAGTTATAGGAATATAAATAAAAACTAAAAAGCAAGAAGCCAGTTGCTTTACATTACACGATGTTATAATACTAATTCAATGCTTTAGCCTGGTCGAGTAATCTTACATGGTATGCTTATCATGCATTGTTTAAATTACAGCTTTATATGAAATCCAGTTTCAATTCACTCAAACTAAGTCATTGTGTTATGTGTATAAGAATAACAAGCAGGAGATATTAACAAACAATTTTCCAGCAAATCCATATACTTACTGACTGCAACAAGCAGGAAAGGCCATAGTTTTCAAGGGGAACTCCAGGAGAAACAACCACAACGTGAGCATCTTTAAATAACTCTTCATCAAACTGTCCAAGGATTGTTCTTACACCACTATGCCTCTCAAAAAGAGGATCTTTCTGCAAGAAATGAAAAATTTAACCGTAAATAAATAAATAGAGAACCTATAAAAACATTTAGAAAACGTTAATATTGTATATAGTTATACCTCTAAAGGACGCAGATTCTGGTTCTGGTCAATTGCTAAGACTGAAGCACCTCGTGCAAGAGCAAGCTTTGCCGCAGCTCTCCCGGATTTTCCCAAACCAATAACCTGAAATTTGAATGTAACATTTCAATCGCTTCCCAGAATTGATGAAAAAAAATGGTGAGGAAATAGGTAAAGAAGTGCTGAGAAATAGACTAGTACCGCAACAGATTGGCCTTGAAGGTCCTGTTTGAGAGTGCAAGATGGGAAGGTTCTGAGTTTCGTCTTCTTGCCTGAGTGAATAAAATGGAGTGTTGCAGGTTCGTACTTGTAATAGAAAGATTTCAGCTTCATGGTCTCTGTGGGGAATCATCAAATTCTAAGTTTCAATTTTAAGCATTTGTTTGGATTGGCCTATGGGCCGACGTATTGAACTTTGTTATTTTTAGACCATCAAATGACCAATATCTCTTATTTCTTAAATTTTTTTTTTTTTTTGTTTCGACAATTTTATTTTTAATAAAATTATTAAAAATGACATAACAATTTCTAAATATAGTCATACTTTATTTATATTTTATATTTTTCTAATTTTTACTTTAATTATTAATCATAAACCCTAACTCTAACTCTTCTAAATTATTAAAATATTTTTTATTTCAAATAATTATTTGTTTGATAAAAATATTTCCAAATTAACAAAATTATTAAGAAAAAAAGAGGATGTAATTTTGGTGAGAGTAGAAGGAAGATGTTTGGTTAAGTAACACTCTGGGATATAAATGTCCATTTAACTTATTATTTATCATAAGGTATTTGACAATAATATCACATAAACTAAAAATTAATGTGTTATTACTGTTCAATAACACTAGGGACACTGAAAAATTTGCACCGAAATTCTGTACCGGCGTACGTGTAACGCGCGTCTGAATTTTTTTACAATTTTTTTCTAGTGAACGGTCGTCCATCAAATTTGGACAGCCGTTCACTCACATGGACGCCCGTCCATATTATATGGACGGGTGTCTATATACAAGGGACGAGCGTCCTTATTTAAAGGACGCCCGTCCATAAATAAAATACAATAAAAAAAATTATAAAACATTATGGACGGCCGTTCATAGGTTGTGGACGGTCGTCCCTTAATTTTGGACGGGCGTCCGCAAATACGGGACGCCCGTCCAAACTTAATTTGTTTTAAAAAATAAAATAAAAAATTTGGACGCCTGTCCAAGCTTAATTTGTTTTAAAAAATAAAATAAAAAATTTGGACACCCATTCATAAATTATGGACGGGCGTCCCTTAAATTTAGACGGACGTCCATAAGTTATGGACGCCCGTCCATACTTAAAAAAAAAAAAAAAAAAAAATTTCTAAATACCTTTCTTCTTCGCTCTTCTTCTTCGTCTTCATTCACCGTGTTTTTTTCATATTTGTGTGATTTCTTGAAGACGAAATCACACAACTGTGATTTGTGTTTGGAAGCTTCTGCTACAAAACTGTGACGGTTAATTGCCATGGTGCGATATGTTTCCAGTTTTTTGTTTCTCACCATAGACAAAATTTGTGTGAGAGAGAATACCCTTCTTAAAGATCATCATAACTGGAAGGATAAGCTCCATCAAGTTCACAGATCATGACAAGTAATAGGCAGAACTTAAGTTCCGACCCCAGAGATTGTTTGTATGGTTTCTGAACTGTATATGTGAGTGACATGAATGACATGTAGTACGCATTGTCTAAGAGCAGATGCATGTCATCCGCATCATCCAGACAAAAACGACATACCATCTACATTTTCCCCTTCAAACTGGAGAAACACCATCAGAATCAGAGCGAAATGCTGAAGTAGTCTAAGATCCAAGAAATCATCATGAAATTTCTAAATTCTAAATGCAGATGGTAAAAAAAGATAAGAATGATACAAAATGGGTTAAGATTATTGCATCCAGTACCATCCTCCTCTTTCAAATCCATGTCAAACTAATGTTTCATTGCCTTATTGTTTTTTCTACACGTTTGAAGGAATACAGATAAAATTCTTCGCCTACTTTTAGTTTCAGTTGCATGACATAAGGTTCCAAACAAGAACATGGACCAACATACTTGGTGTTCTCAAATCCAGTTATGATGATCTTTAAGAAGGGTATTCTCTCTCACACAAATTTTGTCTATGGTGAGAAACAAAAAAACTGAAACATACCGCACACATGGCAATACGGTCACAGTTTTGTAGCAAAAGCTTCCAACACAAATCACAGTTGTGTGATTTCGTCTTCAAGAAATCACAAATATGAAAAAAACAACGGTGAATGAGACGAAGAAGAAGAGACGAAGAAGAAAGGTATTTAGATTTTTTTTTTTTTTGTTTTAAAGTATGGCGCCCGTCCAAATTTAGGGGCGCCCGCGTCCTAATTTTTTTATTTTATTTTTAAAACAAATTAAGTTTGGAATACGGACGCCCGTTCAAAATAAGAGACAACCGTCCACAACTATGAACGGCCTCCATAATGTTTTACAAATTTTTTTATTGTATTTTATTTATGGACGGGCGCATAAATAGGGACGCACGTCCCTTGTTTGTATATGGACATCCATCCATATAATATTACAGGCGTCCATGTAAGTGAACAGCCGTCTAAATTTGATGGACGACCGTTCACTAGAAAAAATTATAAAAAAATTCAGACGCGCGTTACACATGGCAAATTTTTCGGTGTCCCTAGTGTTTTGATTACTGTTATATGATATATTATACCAAATAAGTTATCACGGTAAAATATCTTGTAATTGTAGAACAATCTAAAGTTACTTTATAGAAGTCTTGAATCATCTCTGAGATTATTTTCCATAGAAGAATTTTATTTTTATACCTTTGAGACATGGACTCTCAATCAAATATAGAGGAGGCATCATTCAAAATCAATCTCAACTCCTTAAAGCCGCCCAGTCTATGAAATCTACACTTGAAAATCCTTTATTTCTCTCCATCACTGCACTCCAACACTGCAGTTTTTTCTCACTCATTGAGCTTTACAAACTTTACTAATAACTCGCAGGCAGCCACCGCATTGCATGATTTTGCACTCACATCATGCCGTAGCCTGGAGTCTTCTCTTTTGGCTTCTCATGTTTGCGATGAACCTGGCCTTCATCGTTTCAGTTTCTATCAGGTATTATTATTTGAATTTCAAAGTGCTTTTTTTTTTTTTTTTTTCTTTTTAAATCTAAATCCGTTTGGACATCGATACTGTAATGTTGGCTGCCGAGAAAACTGAGCCGTGGACGGGAAAATAGCGTTGTGAAGTTGTTTGTGTTTACTTTTCTAAGAAGGATCTAACTAAATCTTTTAGTTACGTTTAGTTTATTATTAATTTTTTTTTAAGATATCTGAATCTAGAGGTTTTGTTTGGTTGCCGAGAAAATTATAAAAAGGAAGGAAAACATAGACCTGAAGTTTCAACGCCGATTTTTTCCTTTTTTCAGTTTCCATATCAATGAAGCAGCTGAAATACTATTATCTCATCGTTTATTCTTACCGTTTTGTTAATCTAAACTATAATGCTTACTATTTTGTTGATCTGAAGTCTTATGCTACTGTCTGGTTGCTGAGAAAAGTGAGGAAAATGAAAGATAATTGAGATTCCAAGTTTAGATACGGCGTTTTTTAAGTTTTTCCAGAATATAATCTCTCTAAAACTTAATGTTACATCCTGATTGTATTCTTTGTATAATCAAAACTCTTATGGCTAATTGTGTTGTTTGGTTAACGAGAAAATGAAGGAAACCAAAGAAAACTAGTCCAAACTTAAAAAGTTTGGACTCTGGTTTTTTGGTTCTGTCACGACAATCTCTCCAAATACTGCTACTGCATTTTCTTGGCCAATTTCTGTTTTTAATTAAACCCAACTGTACTTTTTGGCTTCTCAAATGAAGGAAAACAAGGATTTGTAGTCTAATATTGATTGTTAGAATACACAAAAGAATAAGGGACTGAATTAACTTGTTTTTATTGATGTTGATAATTTATTAGTTTCATTTTACCTGTTTTGTTGCTTTTAAACTGAGAAAAAAATAGGGGAAACTTGTTTAATAGATATTTGAGGTACTCTAATGCCATGGCTTTTTTTTTTTTTTTTTTTTTCTCTCTTTGATGAAGAATTCAACTTAACTTAATGATATTGCAAAATTATTTTAGAAAAGAGGGGGAAAAAAAACATTATCTTTCAAGTTGTATATATAGACTCAAATAAGTTGGTTTTTGAAGTTTTAGTATACATTAAGCAAAGATTTCATTGCTTATTTTATTTTTTTGGTTTAACATGTAGTATGAATATTTTATATTAGACACTAGTGAGAGATGAGGTGAGATTCTAGTTGAAGTAGAAGTTCACTCCTCACTTGAGTCAGCCAGTAAGGCCCAAGCCAATTTGGGGGGCTTAATTAGGAAACAGATAACCTTATGTCTACTCAATCATAATGCTCAGGGTAGGCTCAGACCTGCCCGATGACTTAATGTGTAGCCCATGATGTGTTTTTTTGGGCCAAATTAGGTTGAATCAGATGACTCGGTCATCTACTTGATGAATGATCACTAGCCAAGTTGTTTGATACAACCAATGACTTTTCGTTGAACTACCTAGCTGATGACTTTTAATAAGATAACATGGCCAACATGGCTTTTCATATGATCAATCACCGATGTCTTGTCAAACAATTCAGTGATTACACTCATCCTTCTTTTATCTTTACGTATATGAGGTACATTAACATATAAATGGACAATTCTAGTTTTTACCTGCAACATTAAGTCCTACAAATATTAGAGAAACTTAGTGATCTACTTCCATAGCCTAAATGTCGAGTTTCTTTTTATTTCATTTATTTTACACTTGTATCATCATATATTAGCACCATACCCATAAACACATGATTACATACACTAATACTCCATACAACCACACACATGAGGGGGAGATGATGGGGATTATAGTGAGGTCATGCTCAGTATGTATGATGCTAAATTTCACTCTTCAGGTCTCTTGTCAAATTTATCTGAAATTGTGCATGATCTTTGTAGCTTTTGTGCCTAGTGGACTTGGAGGGTGACCATATGAATCCTTTTGAAGCATCAGCTCGCATCAATTTCTGGGTTTTAAAAGAGTTTCTTCTGCACGGAGTATTCTGCGTTCTTCTTCTTGTGACAGGGCACTGGCTCATATTTCTCGTTACAGTTCCCCTTGCTGGCTATCATGCGCTTTTGTAAGTATTTTGTCCCTTTAGTATATAAAGGACTACAGTCATAAAGTGTTTCTTTCCCTCATTATAAAACTGTTATCGTTCTCAGTATTCATCTGCATCGATCTTTCCTCTTCAACAACCAAGATTAATTTGTTGGAATATTCTCCCTTGGTCAAGATCTGATAGTTGGTATTACCAGTTTTGGTTTAAGGAGCATGCTTGCTAGATGCCAGACACCAAAATGCTGAATTATGAGATATGATGCCATTGATTTAACTTTTATCAATATATGTTTTGTAAGCACTAAGAACTTGATGGGTTAAGAGTTTTGACCAAAACTCCCAACATCTGTTTTCTCTGAGAAAATACATGAAATAAATTTGATTAACTCAAAGAAGTTATCATTGTTGTTTAGGTGAAAGTGACCATTTATGACTATCTCTATTCTCTCTGTATCACCATTCAATTTCCATAGTGTAACTGGAAATCAAGGACTTATGTTATTTTAACTTGCCTGTGTCCCCTAGGTGTTTCTGATCAGAATCGCTATGTCAATCCCGTAATTAATTTTCTGAATAATGAAGCTTCTGATGNCATTATCTTTCAAGTTGTATATATAGACTCAAATAAGTTGGTTTTTGAAGTTTTAATATACATTGAGCAAAGATTTCATTGCTTATTTTATTTTTTTGGTTTAACGTGTAGTATGAATATTTTATATTAGACACTAGTGAGAGATGAGGTGACATTCTAGTTGAAGTAGAAGTTCACTCCTCACTTGAGTCAGCCAGTAAGGCCCAAGCCAATTTGGGGGGCTTAATTAGGAAACAGATAACCTTATGTCTACTCAATCATAATGCTCAGGGTAGGCTCAGACCTGCCCGATGACTTAATGTGTAGCCCATGATGTGTTTTTTTGGGCCAAATTAGGTTGAATCAGATGACTCGGTCATCTACTTGATGAATGATCACTAGCCAAGTTGTTTGATACAACCAATGACTTTTCGTTGAACTACCTAGCTGATGACTTTTAATAAGATAACATGGCCAACATGGCTTTTCATATGATCAATCACCGATGTCTTGTCAAACAATTCAGTGATTACACTCATCCTTCTTTTATCTTTACGTATATGAGGTACATTAACATATAAATGGACAATTCTAGTTTTTACCTGCAACATTAAGTCCTACAAATATTAGAGAAACTTAGTGATCTACTTCCATAGCCTAAATGTCGAGTTTCTTTTTATTTCATTTATTTTACACTTGTATCATCATATATTAGCACCATACCCATAAACACATGATTACATACACTAATACTCCATACAACCACACACATGAGGGGGAGATGATGGGGATTATAGTGAGGTCATGCTCAGTATGTATGATGCTAAATTTCACTCTTCAGGTCTCTTGTCAAATTTATCTGAAATTGTGCATGATCTTTGTAGCTTTTGTGCCTAGTGGACTTGGAGGGTGACCATATGAATCCTTTTGAAGCATCAGCTCGCATCAATTTCTGGGTTTTAAAAGAGTTTCTTCTGCACGGAGTATTCTGCGTTCTTCTTCTTGTGACAGGGCACTGGCTCATATTTCTCGTTACAGTTCCCCTTGCTGGCTATCATGCGCTTTTGTAAGTATTTTGTCCCTTTAGTATATAAAGGACTACAGTCATAAAGTGTTTCTTTCCCTCATTATAAAACTGTTATCGTTCTCAGTATTCATCTGCATCGATCTTTCCTCTTCAACAACCAAGATTAATTTGTTGGAATATTCTCCCTTGGTCAAGATCTGATAGTTGGTATTACCAGTTTTGGTTTAAGGAGCATGCTTGCTAGATGCCAGACACCAAAATGCTGAATTATGAGATATGATGCCATTGATTTAACTTTTATCAATATATGTTTTGTAAGCACTAAGAACTTGATGGGTTAAGAGTTTTGACCAAAACTCCCAACATCTGTTTTCTCTGAGAAAATACATGAAATAAATTTGATTAACTGAAAGAAGTTATCATTGTTGTTTAGATGAAAGTGACCATTTATGACTATCTCTATTCTCTTTGTATCACCATTCAATTTCCATAGTGTAACTGGAAATCAAGGACTTATGTTATTTTAACTGGCCTGTTTCCCCTATGTGTTTCTGATCAGAATCGCTATGTCAATCCTGTAATTAATTTTCTGAATAATGAAGCTTCTGATGCATGAATAAATGCCCCCTCTTTTCGCCCATCATTCTTTTCATCTTGGAGTTTAGCTTTTGTTCAAGGCAAATGTTTTCCCAATAACAGAATTAAGAAATGAAAAAACACAATGTCCCTTGTTCCTTGGTAGTCATTATTTGGACATGTCCAAATGGCAATATAGCAGGGTTTCCATGGAGCATCTGTTTGGCTACCTTATGTTCTTTTGGTAAACCATATTACATGTTCCTTAAGTTGATGATACTCTTCAACTTTGGTGAAGTTGCAATCTAGGTCATGTATAATTCTGTCTAACAATTACCTATGTGATACTAATTGCCTGTTGTCACAAATCTGCTCTACATGATTCATTGACAAATGCACTGATTGAATTATTTGGTATCACGCTTATTTGGAAGAGGGCGTGCCTGATCAAGTTTGCTTCTATTGCCAAAAATATTTAATTTTGAATTAATTGGTTAATAGCATAAAAATTAAAAAGGATTATACAAGTAATAATATTGTCATAAATGAATGGAAAAATATGCTGTGGTTCCATAATAAACATGTGATGAATCAATTTTTGACGAATGAGAATTAATCACTTGTTAGTTTCTGCTTGACATCATAACATTAGTAAGTTTCTCAACCTTTGTAGACATGGTTATGCTTAGGCAGATAGTTCTTGTGTCTGTTTATTTTAATTGCCCATGGATTCTTGAGAGGTTACGGTTCTTTTTATAGCTATACAAATTGAATGTCTCAGGTATATGAAGCGGCAGCATCTGATTGATGTAACTGAAGTTTTCAGAAATCTTAAGTTCGAGAAGAAGCTTCGATTTTTCAAGCTTGGTTTCTACGTGGTTTTCTTTGTCCTAGTTGTGTTCAAGTATGTTTTTTTACTTAATACGTAAATAACATTATTGCTTGTTTAGATACACTTTCTTTTTCTCTGTGTATTTAACTTGTGTCATTTTTTTTCTAATTAACGTTTTACCTGTGGTTTGGGTGTAGAATTATTGCTATTGGCAAAATTTTGGTCAACCATTCGGAGTTTGGAGACATACGCTCCTTTTTAGAATACTAGAGATTGTTGTTTTGGTTTATTAAATGTATGTAACCCAGTGCAACATTTGCTCATACAAGGCACTTACAACTTTTTTTTTTTTTTAAATGTAACATGCATGAGTTACTTTTCTGTTTATTTTCATTCTTAATGTTACTTGCATTTCTTAAACTATTTTACTTGGCTGTGGATTTTCCAAAATTTGACAGTAACCTTAATATTATACATAATTTCCTTATATTGCTCTTGAAACATTTGAATTTAATGAGGCACTTGGTTTCTGAAATCTGATAATTATTGGGTTGATATTGTTATGGTTATGAAATACTCGTGAAAAACCTTAAGAATAATTGATATCACTGTTAGAGTCATCACTTTAATATAACCTTTAAACTTTTCAGATTAACAGTTTCTCAACATGGTTGAAGCTTGCTTGACTAAGTCTTGTGTTCCAATCCCCATTTCATTAATATTTAAATTATTACCCATCATAAAATGGGCTTGTGGTTAGATCCATTTTTGTGTTTGTGTTTGTTTGAATCCATGTGTTTATGCGTGTTTGCATCCATGTGGCAAGTCTGTCAAACAAATTTGCCTTTCATGCTAGAAAGTGGTTCAGAGTTAAATTGTTATTGGATGCCTTTCTACAAGTTTAAGCTTTTGGGGCTGAGCTTGCTTAACAATAATCTGTGTTGGCATTTATCCCATATGAAGCGATGATACTGACACATGTTGATCTTGTGTTTTCATGTCTAGACACCAAGAAAGTACTTATGGGAAGGAATTATAATGAAGTTTAAATGTGAGGATTGCAATATTTTACCAAGTGGTTTTGATGAAATCACAAGGGTTTGCATGTTAGAAATCATTGGCTAAATTGAATGGGCAATTCCAAGATTTAGAAAGCTGGAAGGATCCTGTGCATTATGGTAAACTTCCATGTGATTTCTGAAATATCTTAGGGGCTTAATCTTTTAGGATATGAGATACATTAAGAAAGTAGAATCTACAAATTTGTAAAATCATTTAGATTAGGAAGCTACTATTTTGTAATTAGTTTTGTTCTTGTATTTATCTGCAACATAGGGAGAAAAGGTACAATAATGTTTCTTTTATTTCCTTATTTTGGGTGCTGGAGGGTTAAGGAACAAAGGTACCATTTGGCCCTGCTTTATGTCACATTTATTTCTGAATTATTCCATGATTTGTCATAAACCCCATCAAAACTAATTACTTTTGTATTCATTTTAGCCCTTTTTTTTTTTTTTTTTTTTTTTTTTTGTTGTTGTGTTGTTGTTGTCATTGATCTTTAGAATTAAGAAATACTGATGCCTGCTAGTTAATTTCTTTACCTCCCTTCATGAGGTCCTCTTTGCTCTCTCTCTCTTTCTGTCTTGCTAATGATAACTTGTAATTTGCAGCCTTGCGATTGCAACTTTTGAAGCTGTGTCTGGCATGGATGATGACCTTCATATATATTAACTCTCCACTACTCGAGCAGTATGGTAACCACACCTCACAAGTCTCCATTATATAGTTCTAATCCATGTAAAAGATGAAACCTTGGCTCACAGAAATAGATGAGTTAGATTGTAGTGGTTGAAATGAGTTTTACCAAACTGTTGTCAGGTTGGCTACCCTTCGTATGTGTCGATATCCAAAGTGTTCCTATTTATTCTTTAATTGGAGAAATGCATGTATACTGAGATTTGAGTTATTGAAAATGTGAGAACATCTATCTCTCTTCGAGAGTAATTTGAGTGGATGCCACATTTGATTGATGTTTCAATGGATTCATGGCCAACCTTTTTTCTTTTTTTGGAACTCATTTTAATGAATAGCTTTCTTTCTTTCACTCTTCCTTATGCCAGATTGATTTCTTTTTTTGCTCTTTCTAGTTCATTTGTACTCAGATTATACATTGGCAATAATTGACAATGCATATGTATAATCACCGTTGAGCTGGGGGTTTTATTTATTATAAATTTGATGTTCAAAATTTGAAATTAAATTAGTCTATCCTTGATTATGCTTTGGCTTTCACACTAATACATTATGCTTCTGCATTTACATTAATACATTATGCTTCTGCTTTTACAGTAATACATATTTAAATTGTGTGTTTCTAGGAGAACTGTGGACGGTTGAAAATATAAATCTGTTTCTTGTGATGTCCTTTTGCGTTTTTTCTTTCTTTGAAAGGGAAGAGTGGACTAAATGGATTATTTACAAACCCACCTTTCCCTTCTTTATATCTTTTACGGATTGTTCAGATGAATTAGGGAATTAAGACTTCATTGGCAAAGTTGGCATTGTTTTTGTTCCATTCTTCATAATACATGTTTTATGCTATTAGTAGATCCTTCTATTTTAAAAGATGTAAGTTAAAAAGATGAATATTATGATTAAATCTTGTCATAGTTTAGTTTTCTTTCTGTGACTGATCCTTTTGGCCGCCTAATGCTCCAACATTTTATGAATTGGCAATACTTTGAAGCAGTTCAAACTGCCTTCACATTTTACATCATTTGAGCTCTGAATATAACTTGTGTACGTAATTTGTTCTGCACACACGTCTCCAGTATCAATATCATTGATGTAAACAGCTGATAATCCAATTATTAGCGATAGTTTGAAATCTTCAGACAAGTTTTGCTTTGTCAACTTTCATTTGTTCTCAAAGCTTCTTATAGCATCAATGCTCTGATACAATATTGAATACTATTATGTATCTGCCCACAGAAAGAAAACCTTTCTCTCCAAATATTTGGATTTGGGGCCGAGATTACTGTTATGGTCTTGATTCTATATCTTATTTTTGGAAATGGGCCAAGCCCGAGAAATTGTGTAAGGTTAAAGATCTTGTAAACTTTTTGAAGTATAAATATGGTTGGTACAATTTGATCCAGTGGTAAATGATCAAACTTGCTTTCTAGGGAGGAACTTGTTGTGTGGTACTGGTACTGGTATTAATACTTCGGGCCTGAAAATGACACAGGCCTGTTAAAATTGGCCCACTTTATCTTTGCTAAAATGTCCTATACCCGACATAGTGTAGGCAGCTTGACAACAACCTGCCTTTCTTTGCAGAATCAAACTGTACCAATAATTGATAGTTTGGCCCATTTTAAAAACACCATGGAACCCACCATTCATTTTTTGAGTGGGGTCCCTACTCTGATAGCTGAATTCTAACCACTTGATGTGTGGAACCGACTTCAATTGATCCGTGAGCTGTTGGGTCATTTTCGGGTCCTGGACTTGACTGTAAGTTGTCTTCGTTTTTCCCCCCCTCAAGTGGACCCACTATAATCAAAGTCCTGGTTTGGGCTACAGCAAGTGGGTCTTATATTAGATGAATCATTTTCAAGTGGGCCTATTGTAGTAGACAATATCTGACCGTTGGATATACCAGCCACCTTGATTATTAATTTTCAAAGGACAGTATGAGAAAGTGAAGAATAACTAATGGAGCCCACTAATTTTTGCTGTCTTTTGCTGTTTGGGAAACTTGTTCTTCAGTTTCGTCACATTCCCGTCCCGTGTTGCGTTACGGGCTTTCTTCTGCTCTCTGTTCTCTGCTTCCACCTTCTCAAAACTGCACTCTCTTTTTCCACATTTTCAATCAACAATCAAGATGCTTCTTTTATTTTATTTATTACTTCTTTGTTTGTTATTTCATACTACCATCCAAAGCAATTAAATAAATGAGTTTGAGAAAATTTGTAGATATATTTTCTACTTCTTGTTCACATAATATATATATATATATATATTAAGAAGTTAAATTTGAATCTCCCCGTACCTTTGAATATTTGATAAGTTAGCTATTATGGGCAAACTGATGATAAAAAGGTAAAAAGAGGTTTTACGAACTCCTGAATTTGAGTACTCTCAAATACTAATAAGGATTACTACTAAAATTTTTACCTGATCAACAGTTTTAAGATTTCGGATTATTAGTTAAGGTATATACAAATTAGTCTAAACATCTTCAATGATAATATATATATATATATATATATATATTGAAAGTGAAAAATAATAATCTTTAATTATGTAAGTGTCAACTAGAGAAGATATCTAAAAGCATATGAATAATACATATTATTAATTATTTTTAGCTAAATACATGAAAATTTGTCTTTGATGTGATACCCCATATGAATTTTGCCACGAAACTATCAATTTGTTACATTGTTGATTCGGTGATATGGATCTAATCAAATGAATTGTTTCTCAAACCATTAGTGGTGTCCCACTCACCATTAAAGTTCACAAATCCTGTCCACTAATATTTAGTTATTGGCATCACCCAATCACCGTCAACACACCTTTACTTTGGAATTATTTTCATCGTATATTTATTTCTTCTTTTCTCAAGATTTGTGACAAAATATATGCAAATAATTTGTTTAAAAGTTTATCAAAAGATGGGGTTTTTCAAGTAAAGTTATTTATTCAACTACAATTTTTAAAATAAAATATAATTATCTCTAATTTATATGAATTCTTCCATGGATCAATGAACAATAATATATGTTATTTTATATTTTAAAAATGAAATTATGGGTTTCAATTAATTTTTTAGATAAGTTTTTGTTTAATATAAAAGATTAAAACTAATACAAATATTATTATTGTGTAATATGGTTGGTGGGGAAAAGGATATAAAAGATCGGTAGAAACCTGAAAAGGACGTATCGAGTGGGCCCTTACGGAGTGCTGAAAAAAATTGGGCCCAGTTGGAACTGAAACAGACGTCGGTCCCTACAGTAACGGCGTATAAAGTTTGGGTCTTTTCATTGATGCAGAAAGCTCATCATAAGTGAAAAATATAAAAGTTTTTGGACTGAAAGGAAATATTCACCAATGGCTTCTGTTCACGTGGAAGGCACGCGGGTCCAGGCCCACTGAAGCGGACATTCTCTTCTTGATCATGGGGGATTTAATACCTATGAGTCTATGGATTTTGGTGGTCCTTTCCACATCTATTATATCAATTTACGCAATCTTTTTTTTTTTTTAAAAATTAAATTTAAAAACTTTAGAATATTATTATATAAAGGGCAAAACAAAAAGTTTATTCGCTTAAGAAATCAAGCAATTTCCAAGATTCAAAAAATAAATAAATAAAGTAATGTGATTTGGACAAAATGTACAATAATCATCTAAGTCTAAATGATTAAACCACCCATGGGTGGTTTGATGGTAAAAGAGCAAAATGAAATTCTATAAGCTTCTAAGTTTGAGTCCTCCTAGACCTTAATAGGAATGACCACTAGGGCTCTTATTTGGTTAATAGTTCCAAGGCCCCGAATGATTAGTTGAGGTATGCGCAAGCTAGTTTGAACACCCTCGGTGATTAAAAAAAGAAAAAAGTCTAAATGATAAAATTATAACGGAAGAATAGTTATGACATAAGCAAGATAAATGGATCTGAAAATTTAATAAAATATAATTGGAATGGTATTTTAAAATTACTAATTTAATCAAAACAAAACTTTTATTTTTCATTTGATGGATTCTTATTAATTTAAATAGGTTAGACATGACAGTGGTGTTCTCAAGCACCCGTACATGATAATTGAAAATTATGTTTTTTGTAGGGTTGGGTAAAATCCAATATGCAAATAAATTTGGTACAATAATAATTACACTGCCACAAGTAGCACCATTCTTTCCTCAAACAGTTTTGAGATAAATACCAAAAGTGGCTATTCGTCATTTAAATTCGATCGAATTTGTGAAGACAATCTCTCTGCAAACTTCTGCTTTCTTGTTCCTCTTTATCTTCTTCTCTTCATTGCTCATAATTTAATTGCTAAAATTAATAAATAAACCTTTACCAGATTTTAAATGTATTGGGCTAAACAGGCCCATCCAGGCGAGGCTTGCTTTATTTATACTTAATCAAAACACTTATTACCAAACGGACAACCCTTTTTCACCTAATAATCATTTCTTTTCCATTCAAATTCAGTTTTTAATACCCCAATTCTCACTTTAAATCTCATCAAGAAATCTGTAGTACGTCTGATCTAATGGTGGAACATTAAGGTCCCAAATAATTTTGATCAATAATAAGAAAAGTCTCAATAATTTTTATCTGACACAAATTCTCTAGACTAGAGGAGAGCTATTATTATTTACGAGTTCCTTACTTTAAAAAGACTGCAAATTTTAATATCCAATATATATATATATATAATGTAACAAATAGCTAAAGATAACAGAATTTTATATAAAAAATAAAATATACGTTTAACTTAATAAAAATGTAAAATAAAATTAAAATGGGTTAATCATGGTAGTTTTATTTTTTACATTAACGTTACTTAATGGGTTAAAGCTATATTTATAGGATGTGATATTTTGATTTATTTATTATTATTTTATATATATATATATATATGAGATGGATTGGATGACACAAAAAAAGTTGAAAATTATTTTTAAAGTTATATTGATGAATAGATGAAACTAATAATAATAACCTTTTACAAAAGAGTTAAAATGGTGAGACAAATTTAGAGATTGTAATTGAATATTAATTTTTTTTAGAAGAACATAGATAAGAATTGTAATCCCAAATGTGATCATTGAATGTTAAACTGATAATAGAAAAGAGTTAAAAAAAAATGGGGAAAGCCTAAATGAAGGGTTTAAAATCCTGGGATGATAGGTAGGTGGTGGACATATCGTATCAATAATATGATGATGCTTATTAAGTTTTATTAGTGAGTGGGTCCATCATACCAAATATTATTTATTTTTAAACAAATCAAAGCCATTATTTATTGATTTGTTGGAT